CCTCCGACGAGCTCCCTTCATAGCTGAGAAACTTGTGCGAATGTCCATACGACAAAGCCACTGTGTACACACGACCATAAGCTTACATCCTACAAAAGCGCCCCACAAAAATGGTACATATGGGTTTTCTTACACTCGCATTTGTAAGCTTCTAACAGCTGTCTTGTTTTATGGGTACAGTGAGGAGCGAGTTGTGCATTCGCGGTCGCCGCATTCTACATGACGCCCCTGCTTTTCCGCCTCGATTCGCCGTCGGATTAGATGAGACATGTTGCTTTTCCTTTCTCTCTTTAGTTCGAATTTTGAGTAATTTTGAGGAAAATGGACAAGCTCAAATGATTATTTCAGAAAACACCCGTTTATTTGCAGGAATGCCGGCAGTCCCTCGAGTGGATCGCATCAAAACGGTATACAGCGCAGCTAAAGCTCTGCACTATGCCTGGAAGTTCACCGATTTTGTCAAAACGCCTGCTTACAATGGTGTTTCCAGATATATACCTCAACTTCATAGGTGTGTATTTTTCTCCAATTCTTGCTTTATTTGCTCCCTGTTATTCCCTTGTCGACTGTTTTCATTTACCTTCCATTTTTGTTTATTTTTTGGAATTTTTATTTGTTTTCTATCTTTGCCTAGTGATATAGAACCTGGTCTCCATGTCACTTTCCAGCTTTTGCGGGAACTAAATTTCATTCTTGTGGAGTGGGCCACCATTCCCTTAACATCGATCGGAAGAAGCGCTTCGTTTAGCTTAGTCACAAAAGAATCTATGATGGCTCCTAGGAACAGTTTGCAAAACGGTTTGCAGGTCACCGCACTTTGTGGACTGTGTTGCGAGGCTCCCAGCGCTTTTTTTGGAAACGCACGAATGGGTTTTATACACTCGCCAGTTGCTTCTCCACCCAGGCCAGGCAAACCCTGTAATCCTCATTTGAATCGTTTCTTCGTATCTTTCACCACAATGTTGTCACCTTATATCTCTGAATGACAGTGAGTCTGTCACCAGTAGTTCTCTGCGAATGACAACCGCGAGAACTGTAAGAAAATGAACAGAATGTCACCGCCGGCAAATCAATCCCTTTTACGACACGCCATCACCCGAATATGTGTTTTAGTATTGCCTTCTGTCCAGAACTAGTGGATTGAGTTCAATCTAGTTATTCCCTTCGCACACGCGCTTATTTATCTGTGAGCTTATTGCCTGGCTCGAACTGAGGATGTATTCCAGCTACCCTAGCTTGCTTTTGCTGAAGGAAGAGAGCACCTTCAAAAGGCGCTATCAGATTTTGCATTGCAATGTAATGTAACAGTTGATTCTGAAACAAGCCACTGTAAAATTTTTCCCATAAGACAGCTTTTTCGCACTTTCGGAGTATTCTTGCTGCATTCCTGCAAACACATTTTGCTGGAAAATTGTTGACGCAATCGCAATTGACCTGTAGAACTTCCGCCGGACTCCGAAACCAGCCACATGAAAGGCCCGGTATAGAGCTTGTCTTGGCGAAGACATTTTCGATTCGGCATAAAGGAAGCAGCGTCTCCGAATAATCCTTACAAACTAATTATTTGATAAGGAAAGGGTCGAGAGAATAGGAAAGCTAACTCTTATATTTTAGCCAGCAGCCTTCAACTCTAAACATATTGGCAAGCATCCAATGAGTTTCTTCTTTGTTGCATTTGTATGGGAAAACTCGCTTGTTCGTTGTTTTCCTCGTGTGGTTCAGGTGAGAGTGCGGTACAAGACTGATAATTCCATGGGAAACATTCTTTTTTCAGGGAAACAAGCTCAAATGAAGCGACGCTTTGTCCCGCAAAGAACTGGACTAGTTGTTCCGGAAAAATTTGCCCCACATTTTTTTCTCATTGACGGTATCTGAACGACTTGTATTTTTGAGCATGCCTCTTGAGGCCGAAGCAAGACAGAAAATCGGATTTTGCCGATTCAGTCCATTGAATTTTTAGTGACTTGGTGTAGTAGGACATGAGTTGAGTTTCATAGACAAAAATGTTTCAAACCACGTGAGCCCAAGCAGATAAAAAAAACTCGCTAACATAGTTAAGGTTACTGACACCAATCGCCTCTCATTTATAACTTTCGCTAATCAAGGTTACGACTTACCCTTAGTTAAGACTATGTCTGGACTTTCCTACTGCTCTATATCTCGCAACTCTAGTCGTCTGCGCTCGGATCCCAAGCGTTTTCAGTGAAAAGATTCAGAGACGGATCAGGTATCCCTCATCTACGTCAGCGCCCACAGTAGTAGGTGAAGACTTTTGCGCGGTCTCAACAGTCAACTTCCGGTGATGAAGTGACCAGGGTCCTGGCGTTGTGAGGAAACTCTTCAGAGCAGTACGGTCCACCAAAGTTCGTACCTTTCGGTACGAGCTTCACGTCGACATGCTGACCTGCGTCGCTACTATGTTTTCCATTTTCCCAAAATTTTGGGTTACGGGGCTGTTGTCAACCAGACGTGCTCTCGCCGCGAGGGTCCAGGTGTATTTTCACGAGGCCATTCTACCAGTCAGTCTCTCGCGCGCACAACGGTAAAGGAGGAGGGCGGATCGCCGAGAAGAAGGGAAGGAAAAGAAGAAGGAGAAAGTGAAAAATGAAAGCGGCAATGAGAGGCTTCTCGGTTTGACACAGTGTTCTGAGTAACGTTTGCCGTCAGTCGCGGGAGGGGGTGGAGTCGGAAAGCAGGAGAATAGGAGGATACGCACAGAGTAAAGTGTAAGTACCGATGTGGCAGTCGAGTGAATTGGAAGACCGCAAATCGGAAGAACACGTACCGAAAGAGTAGATGGGAACTGGTCGACTCTCGAATCTTCCAATTCGCAAGCAACCTTAATCGATCGATTCCTAGCTGCTTCCTTGACGCGCTTTCCCTGTTCTCCTATTCCAAAGAATCGAAAAGTGTGAACGCAGCCTCGGACTTCAAAAACACATTGGGTTTTTCTTCATTTCAATGGTTGATACTTTTTCCAGGATAACTTTCCGCTTCTGTAAGCAGAGTGAAGCAAGCGTTGGTGTACGGAATTTCATTGAGCATAGAATTTTAGAATTAGGTCAGTTCTTCGATAGCTCATATAGATAAGAACAATCTTCTATGAAATATCCTAAGCACTTATTCTACTAATGACTGCATTTCAGGAGCACGCGTACCGTCTGTCGTTGTATATACTCAACCTGTTCGTTTCTCGAATCCTATAATTCGTGCAGAATACGGAAATGGACGAGTCATACAACTGAATGCTAAAAATATGAGTATGGAGGACGTGGAGCGAGATGTTAATCTCCTGTATTCTAGAAGCGGACTTCCAGTTGTTAAATTAGAATCTCTTCAGAGTGCTGCTACACCCTCATTACAGGTACGGATTATTCCTGGAAGCACAGTTATTGTTACTCACTAAACACATATGTACACAATACTTATCTGTTTTCTACACATCTTTTCTATAAGGTTGTTAAATATCAGGGCGCTGTTCTTGAATGTGATGGGGGGGGGAACAGTTGATGCAAGAAACGAAGAATTGGCTAAATGACAGGGAAGTTAGAATTCTGTGAATTAGTTCCCGTGTGTTTTTGTTGTAGTTTAAAATGTCTTGTGTGGGCTGTCCCACTTGTTAGTTAAGGTACCAATCTGTTGACCGCGAAGCCTCTCTCCCCCTTCCTTTTTTCTTTCCCTTTCCTTCTTTTCCTCCCTTTCTTCTTTTTTCCTTATCTTTTCCTTCAAATACCCGTCCAGGAGAAGAGGAAATACCTCGGAGCCTTGCAGCGGGAGAATATTTGGCTAACAGAAGCCATATAACCCTTCGTTCATTACAAGATGGGATTATCGCATGTGGCAGTGATAATTGACTAAACCATTGTGGATTCCTGTACTTCTACCCTGTAATTTTATCTTGTAAAGATGATTGTCCGCGAAAAACTCAGTTTGCAACTTTCGTATCAGCTAGCGGCTGAATTCACTACATTCTTCGAGAATATAGTAAACAGAACTCCCTCCTTTGTTATTTGGTAGCATAGTCGTCTAACAGAAACGATCGTTCAGGAGATGGCCGGCATGTTTGCAAAAAGGTTTTTTCGCAGCGCTTTTATGCCATGTTCTCTAAACAGAGAGCCCGCCCAGGCAATCACCTTGGTTAAACTGCATTTGAATATCTTGCGTATCGTTATGTTTCGTTAGAACCCTGTGCAAACTCGTTTATCGTTATACGAATAGAAAATAGTTATTTGAAATTGTTCATTGACGCATCGATAAAGGTAAAGGTAAAGTCCTTCGCGCGGTTAAATATTCCTTTGTGATGCGCACGGCATTCTACTCCGCTTCAGAAAAATGGTTAGTGGATCATTGAATGCGAATGTGGCCTAACTGACTTCGGTGGGCAGCCGATGTAAAGTCAGTGTTCTATGTCTCAGACGAATCTGGTACTCTGGCAATTTAGCCCTGGAGGGTGAAAGGCTTTGGTTGGTTTGGGCGGGAGTCGACCGGGATCAAACCCCGGCCGCCGCGCAACAGTGGGTAAGCGATAGCGACGAGTGTGTCACTAACACACAGTCTCGCCTCATCCATCCGATAGTCTTTGAGTTGCCCCTCTTAAGTTACATAGACAGCCGAGAGGAAATCAAAATTGTTCTTAGCAAACGCAATAAAGTGAAAATCGCACAACACTTGGCGCACGCTATGCAGCTCATGATCCATGAAAGCCGATTAGGGCGGTGCTAAGGGAGGCGCTTTTCATCAACGATGCCATTCACTGAGCTCGATTAACCCGGTGGGATTGTGGATCATGATTGAGATTTTTGCCATGAGCCCTGTCAGCAGGCCAATAGATAGATAATATAAAGGGATCATATTGAAATAAATTAATTAATTACTTTATCGTTCTCTACTATTGTTCGATAAACAAGAAAGAGTTGTCCCCTCTACGGGTCCTTGGAATGGTTGTATTGATATGACTAATGAGGAGTACTTTCGGAGAAACAAGGATAAAGGATGGGCAGAGGTGGAGTAGTGGAAAGTGTCACGCTTACCACGCGCGCGGTCAGGAGTTGAATACCGGGTCGCCTAGGATCCCGTAGGCTAATCAAGCCTTCTACCCTCCGGGGACGGTAAATTGGTACCAGATTCGTCTGGGAGGATAAAACACTGACTTGTACATCGGCTGGCCACCGCAAGTCATTGTATAGGCCACATCGCATTCAATAAGCCACTACGATTCTGAATGGAAGTAGAATGCGTGCCGCATCCCACAAAGGGATTGATTACGGCGGAGACTTTGGGCTTTCATCCTTACTTTCGGAAGATTTGCATTGCTTTCTGAAACGTCTTTATTTGAAGGGTGAATGGACGCCGATGACATGGCTGTCTCCACGATTGAATTCTGCGAAATTGCCGGATCCTGAATTCTCAGAACACAAGACGTCTAAAGTGACGGCGACGGAATATCTTATCGAACAACAGAAGCGGTTAGAAGGATAGAGGTCATGGTGGAATTGTTTTCGATTGTTATGTTGTTATTGGAAAGATACTCTATGTCTTTTAGGATTTTACTTTGTGAATATTTAACAATGTATAAAACATTTTTGATGGTCTCAAAGAATGTTCGCGTTGTGGTTGTCTTCCACACTGTATCTTCAGTAATATTGCTTCTACTATTTCAATATTGGTGTACATTAAGCTTTATGCGTTAAGCTGCGTTCATACCTTACGACGACGTCAACGTAACCGACGTTTCCAGTGAATAGTTCGCGAAGTTGAAATACCTATAGATCGTAACCGACGTAACTGACGACAACCTTTCGAAGAGTGGATACGTATCGATCCGACGTAACTGACGTTTTCGACTTCAGTCGATACGTATCTAATCTTCTGTCGCCGGTTAGGCTGCATTTATACTTTGCGGCAGCGTATGCTAGCGTAGCGACTGCAAGGAAAGCATAGGTATCGATCTAGGTTTTCAGCGTTTCACTAGCGTTTGCAGCGCTCGGAGTAAAGACTGTGAGGAAGAGCAAACAGTTTCGATTATAGCGTGTGTAGACAATTCAGCAGCGTGTGTAGGCTGTCATGCATTAGTGGGCAACACCGTACTAGATACTAGATCGATACCTATGCTTTCCTCGCCCTCGTTACGCTAGCTCACGCTGGTGACGCTAGATCGATATCTATCCTGGTTGCCATCTGCGGCTGGCACACGCTGGAGCCTATCGTACGTCCTCGCAAAGTGTAACGCAGCCTTACCTCGATTACGACACGTCGGATCGATATTGTCTACTCTTTGATCGCCGAAAACTCGCTCGTCACATTAGCGTAGTTACAGTCCGACGTCGTCGTAAGATATGACGCAGTCTGATCCTTTCCTCACCGGTTATATTAGGGCGTTCGCGCAGAATGCCGATGTTTCACGTGTCTCTGCTCAAGGTTTCAAAATTAAAACTATTTTGCGAAGAAGCACCACATAGGAGCTGAGAGTAGCCCTGAGACAACCATCATGTACTCGACGTGGATTGGCCACTGTCATCATTTGCAATGCTACTACCTCAACAACACAGTGCGCAAATATGCAAAGCAAGACGAGAGGCCATATTATCGTGGTTACTACGACGTTGTACGATCCGACGATCCACTTACCAAGACCTGGAGGAAGCCTGAAGATTATCCAGCACCGTATCTTTCAGATGGAGTCGAATATGCTTGCTGATGTAGTAAATTGATGTCATTAGAGGAAATAAATCTTAGGGAATAAAGTTATGCAGTCCTGTAATTCTGTGGTCGGAACGGATGTCGACTAGAATGTACCCGGTTGGTTACTTGTGTTAAAAGTATCGGGAGGTTTTTATTCTATTCCATGGTGTGCAGTGAACTGTTTCTCGTTCATGGCACCTGAGCGAATACTTTCACTTCACTAACCAGAAAGGTCAACAGGTCAGCAGCGGGGCATATGCAAATGAGTGGCAATAGTTTGTACTATCTTGCCACGTGAACTCGAAACTATCTTCAAAATTTGCGGAACGATTCTTGAGAGCGGAGTTATGGAGGTTTTTCTTTACTGTTTTTCTTCTTCGAGGCGCGCTGGCACCCGAAGGAGCGTTAGCACTGTCGGCGCGGCTCCAGCACTCTTCGCGCAAAATAGCTATCATATTCGTGTTCAGCCGGTCAAAAACCCCTAGAAACGTCACCTTAACGAAATCTGAGGTTCTGAACCAACTTCAAAAAAATGGGGTATGGATAGTCATAGCTGACTGAGAGCCAACAGCCATACTACGACTAGCACACTGGTGATGACTGGTCTTTCGAGTGAACTACATCTGTTCAGTCTGTCTTTTCGCTAACAAGAGTATTCGCTTACGTATTGTACCGTCTGCCATCATTTTTCTTGAGCTATTGAAGGAAATCCCATTCCTAGACCCGTCATCATGAGGGTTGATTCCAAAATGCTTGCTAATACCCCATGAATAACTCACATTTTCAATTAGAGTCGAATTATCACATCGGCTGGAACGTTGTCCCCCGGAGTAAATTTCAACCCGCTGAACGTGAATGTGATGGTATTTCATTGCAAAAACCCTTGTGACATGTGCTACGGGGGGGGACAAGCACGAGCACTCTTTCAAGCCATAATGAGATCTTTCGAGAAGAGATTGGTCGAATATTCCCTTATAGGATAGTGCAGGGCGAGCAGAATGTTCAGAAGCTCTGTCGGCCATGTTCTTGGACAAATGCAAAAAAACACCCTGCCGAGAACCGATCCTACGACGTCTCGCCTAGTAAATCCGCTCGTATCCGGCTTGCTCTCTCTACGCCAGTTTCAGTGTGACTCCATTCTTGTATTGAAGACGCTTCCACGTTTCCTCGCGATAGCATGTGAGACAACCACGTGGGGATGAAACCCTCCATAACTCCGTTCAGAGAGTCCGTTTCCGCAAATGTTGAAAGGTAGATCGAGTACATGTCCCAATAGACGGTGCCCAGGTAATGCAGGCTCATTTGGAATTGGCCAGGCTGACGCTATTGACCTTTCCTGGGTAAGCGATACTGTGGTCTGCGGTCGCACCATCAACTAACTAGCTATGTTGAAAGGGATGGGAAGTATAGTCTCGGAACAGAATAAGTTCTCTCAACTGGGTTCTATTTCTCGTTCTATCAGTCGTCAAGCACTACAAAGTTAGCTTTGCAGAAGAGAAAAATGGAAGCTTTTATTCAACGCTGCGTGGGAAAACTTTTTCTTAATGATGTCGGTGTCAAGAGGGCTTCAGTCGTGTGGGATCGCTCGGAAATGGCATGGGTTACTCACGAGATATTTCAACTGGGGACAACCGTCATCTTGTTCTGTATTAGACACAGGAATGATCTCAGTTGTCTCAAAATGAATATATCTCACCAAAACTACAGTCACCACAACGTTTAGTTGAAGTACGTAGCCACGCCTATCTCATCTCAGAGAGTTCGAGTATAGCTGCGAGCGCGAAGTCGGAACAGAAGGGAAGTGGAGCCATACGTACAAGAGGAAAATCGGAATGGGAGTATGCTGCAGCCGGTCTTGCAACTCGTACATGTGGACAACTTTTCGCGATGATTTTTCGATATATATTTTACCAATAATGGGTCAGGAATCCTGGGCTAGAACTGGATGGAAAACAACGATCTGCCTTCGCTGTGTGTTCGGCAGAATCAGCAGCAGTGGTAAAACATGAATTGATCCAGTAGACCCAAGATCCGAGTTCAGATTCGATCGAGAAGTTCGCGATATCGATTAGAATTTAGCCCTTTTCGCGGATTCTCCGATTCGCCGATTTCTGTTTCCATGCGGACAGTTTGGCGCTGGTTATGGAACGGTCTTACACGAGCAGTAGTGATGTATGCGTTTGTTTTCGCCACTCTTTCTTTCTTCTTTAGCCTTTTTCATCCAAATACGGCATTGGATGGGCTAAAGACGGTTTCCGCGCTCAAGTTCTTCGTGGTCATCATTCCTTGTGCAAGTGGTCCAGCCCCCATGGGACTGTCCAACTTTCGCGACTACACATTCAGTGAGGAGGGTGCTAAAGCCGTGGAGAGCTCTAGTTTCGACACCTGGACCGCCTACTTACGAATGTCCATTTTACAGTCAACGTAAGGGCGCTCAGTTGTTGTTTGGTGGACGGCGGTAATCCTAATTGCGTGTCCGATATTGCCGATCGTGCTCTTGCTCGTAAGTAATTGTTCTGTTCTTAGGAACTACTTTTTCTTAGGAGCACATACAGTCAAAGACAATCCGTCTCAAAAGGTGAGACTCGCTCAATAAATGAGTGATGCAATTGTACTGCTGCAGTGATTCTTCGGGGAGTGTTTTTCAAATCCCAGTTTTGCACAAAAAGCATTCAAAGACTGTTTCTGTCACGAGTTCGTTTCTGAGTCTGTTCTGTGTTCTCCATTGTTTTTTTTCACTTTCAAACAGTATTCAGCTTTAGATGACGCGAAGAATTCATTAGTGAGTCTGAAGTGACAGGGTAATGAAACGAGCGGGGCTCAGGAACTCGTACATTGAGGCTTCCAGGGGGGGGGGTCCTTACGCTTGTTCTCGATTATTTGCTTTTGCTTTTTTTCCCTGAAAGTGACTTAGCAACTATAGGTTCACTACTGAACGCAGCTACCCACAATAGCTAATCGTTGGGTTTTTTCAATGTCATTGAGCATTCATTTCTTATCAACGGAATGTTATTGGAAGCCGATCTGGTTATTTCAACTCGAAATAATCAAAGGCATCTCCTGGGCGAAACGGGCTTATATAAAAGTAAATGTGAAACTTCGGGGCTGATGTGCGCTGGGGTGCGCCATGCACTGTGCTCTCATCGGCGCACCCCATCATTGTGAATGCACAACAGGTGTTGTATTTGATAGTGAAGGAAGGGGGGAGCGGGTCGTAAGCAGGGCTCATTCAAACGCGGGGAGAGCAGAGATATTCAGTTCACGTGATGAAAGAGTTTTTCATGGTCCTTGATGTGAAGAACGCCTGATGAGATCTGAAGGGAGAGAAAGAAACAATTAGAAACAACGAAACAAAATACTGGAAAAGTTCTTGTTCCAACTGAAGCACTCAATTTAAGAACGATGTTCCAACAAGGTAAGGAGTAGTAAACATGTGGTGTAGTTCGCTGCGGACTGTGGAGCGTTTCAGACAGGATGAGTTTGGCACGGTGCCAAACCTGTTCTCCACTAGCTGTTAAAGCGAGCAAGTGACAAGACTGTACCATGTCGTTCGTATTACTCGTTTCTGAAATATACTGTGTGCGGAGTAATGGCTTGCAAACATACCAGCAGAAAACGGGCCTCTGACCGTGGGCACACTCATAGTGCCTGACACGTCCCTCCTACAGTCCGCAGCGAACTACACTACAGGGGGGGGGCAAAAAAAGTCACTTTTCTTCATTGACTTTCGAGGCGCTATAAGTTAACACATTATTAAATTCTGATCGGAACATTTTTTACCACCTGTATTAAAGAGC